AGTCATGTTTGTAACTTTCAGCCTTGCAATGCCTCATGGGACAGCTTGAGGGCCACCAGTTTGACACCGCTGTTCTAAATGATTTACAGCCATTTCCTCTGAGGGTAATTAAAAGATATATGTCTATAGGCATGCTGTGTATTTCCTTTAGAGCAGGGGTGGGCAACTGTGGTCCTCCAGCTGTTGTAGAACTACAAGTCCCATGAGGCATTGCAAAACTGACAGTTACAAGCATGATTCCCAAAGGCAGAGGTATGATGGGACTTGTAGTTCACCAACAGCTGGAGGGCCACAGTTGCCCACCCCTGCTTTAGAGCATACTATGGGGTAAAAGGTTTGTCTCTGGTTAATATACCATCCCATTATTTTTACTTTAGGCTTTGGGACTCCTTCATTACAGGGCCCTATATACACTCACCGGCCACTTTATTAGGTCCACCTGTTCAATTGCTCGATAACTCAAATTTCTAATCAGCCAATCACATGGCAGCAACTCAATGCAGTTAGGCATCTAGTCGTGGTGAAGACAACTTGCTGAAGTTCAAACTGAGCATCAGAATGGCGAAGAAAGGTGATTCCAGTGACAGTGGACGTGGCATGGTTGTTGGTGTCAGACGGGCTAAGTATTTCCAAAACTGCTGCTCTACTGGGATTTTCATGCACAACCATCTCTAGGGTTTACAGAGAATGGTCCGAAAAAAGAGAAAAATATCCAGTGGGCGGCAGTTGTGTGGAGGAAAATGCCTTGTTGGAGATGATAGAAAGGCAACAGTAACTCCAATAACCACTCGTTACATCCAACGTTACCATCTCTGAAAGCACGACATGTCCAACCTTGAAGCTGATACAGCAGCAGAAGACCACACCGGGGGCCACTCCTGTCAGCTAAGAACAGGAATTGGAGGCTACAATTCACACAGGCTCACTAAAATTGGACAGCAGAAGACTGGAAAAATGTTGCCTGGTCTGATGAGTCTTGATTTCAGCTGCAACATTCAGATGGTAGGGTCAACAACATGAAAGCATGGATCCACCTTGCCTTGTAGCAACGGTTCAGGCTGGTGGCGGTGGTGTCATGGTGTGGTGGATCCATCTTGCCTTGTAGCAACGGTTCAGGGTGGTGGCGGTGGTGGTGTCATGGTGTGGTGAATCCATCTTGCCTTGTAGCAACGGTTTAGGCTGGTGGTGGTGGTGTCATGGTGTGGTGGATCCATCTTGCCTTGTAGCAACAGTTCAGGCTGGTGGTGGTGGTGTCATGGTGTGGTCAATCCATCTTGCCTTTTAGCAATGGTTCAGGCTTGTGGTGGTGGTGTCATGGTGTGGTGGATCCATCTTGCCTTGTAGCAACAGTTCAGGCTGGTGGTGGTGTCATGGTGTGGTGGATCCATTCTGCCTTGTATCAACGGTTCAGGCTGGTGGTGGTGGTGTCATGGTGTGGTGGATCCATCTTGCCTTGTATCAACAGTTCAGGCTGGTGGCGGTGGTGTCATGGTGTGGGAGAGATTTTCTTGGCACACTTTGGGCCCCTTAGTACCAATTGAGCATCATTTAAACACCACGGCCTGAGTATTGTTGCTTACCATGTCCACCCCTTCATGACTCCAGTGTCCCCATCTTCTGATGGCTCCTTCCAGCAGGATAATGCACCAAAGCTCAAATCATCTCCAACTGGTTTCTCAGACACAATAATGAGGTCACTGGACTCCAATGGCCTCCACAGTCACCAGATCTCCATCCAGTAGAGCACCTTTGGGATGTGGTGGAACGGGAGATTCCCATCATATATGAATATATGGGGATGTCTCTGTGCTGGATTTGAAAGCCGTTCCTGAATATATGGGGATGTCTCTTTGCTGGATTATGATGTCTCTTTGCGGGATTAGGTTGTCTCTTTGCTGGAATATGATGTATCTTTGCTGGATTGGAATGTCTCTTTGCTGAATACATGGGCTGTCTCTTTGCTGAAAATACGGGATGTCTCTGCTGAATATATGGGGATGTCTCTGCTGAATATATGGGAATACCTCTTTGCTGGATTGGGATGTCTCTTTGCTGGATTTGGCTGTCTCTTTGCTGGATTGGGCTGTCTCTTTGAAAAGGTAGTGCAGTTAGTGTTAGTGTAGGGTTCAAAAGAGTCTTGAGCCTTTTATGGTGGCGGGCTTCATATTTTTTGACCAAAATAAAATTCCTTACTGTTAAATCGTGAAAGCACTGATAACTTGGAGTACACATTTCATGTTCATATATTAAGTTGTAAAAGTGTTACAATAAAAGTGGATGCAGAGAAGGAAGTGGTGGGATGGCCATTGGGCGAATTCGGTGGGACGGCCAGTGGTCGGGCCCCGGGGAATGTTGGTGGTCAAGCCTGGTGGGGCCCAGGCCAAAAGCTATGTAAAGGGATCCAAAATGTCCGATGGCTGCCCTGTACTGTATATAAATATATAGGGTACTGCATCCTAATCTCTTTGGGATGTTGTCATTAGTGACACCTTTTAGGTGTTCACTTTTATGAATTTTGTTCTTTGTATATTTTATGGAGACATCGTAATAAAAAATGTTCTCTATATTTTTAATTCCCGTCTGGTGAAGTGCCAGTAAAGTCCAGTCATTTTTTTTTGGGGGTGGGGGGGGGGTGTTTTCCCACATCCTTTTTTTTTTGTTTGCGTACAACTGGATGAGGCACGGCGGAGCTCTTGGTTTTTCATTATTATTTATTTTTATTTTATTTATATTTTAATTTATTTAATTTTATATTATAATTTGATTAATTTTTATATTTTATTTATATTTTATATTTTAATTCGATTTTATTTTATATTTTAATTTCATTTTATATTTTAATTTATTTCATTTTATATTTTAATTTGATTTATTTTATATTTTAATTCGATTTCATTTTATATTTTAATTCGATTTATTTTATATTTTAATTCATTTAATTTTATATTTTGATTTATTTAATTTTTTATATTTTAATGCGATTTAATTTTATATTTTAATTCGATGCATTTTATATTTTAATTTATTTCATTTTGTATTTTAATTTGATTTATTTTACATTTTAATTTATTTCATTTTATATTTTAATTTATTTCATTTTATATTTTATATCGATTTATTTTATATTAAAATTTTTTTTCATTTTATAATTTAATTTATTTCATTTTATATTTTAATTCGATTTATTTTATATTTTAATTCATTTCATTTTATATTTTGATTTATTTCATTTTATATTTTAATGCGATTTATTTTATTCCATTTAACTTTCCTTTTTTGTTTTTCTTTCCTTTGCCCAAGCGATGACATTGCGAGATTTTGGAGTGAGCGCACCCGTCGCAGGAGGATTAGGGATCGGCTTTCTGAGTCACCGCGCATCTCCGCACATCATACCGGGACAGAAGCTTCTTTTGATGTCGGAATTCCTTGAAATCCATCTTTCCTCAAATGTGTTTTAATTGCAGCTTATCGCCTTAAGGCCGATTTATAGCCACTTGTGCTCTTGCTGCATTTTTATTTATTTTTTTTTTTTTTTTAAAGAAATTGTACTTAGAACAAAAAAGCTCGGCGCGACTGAACGGGGGATGGGATTAACGCAAGGCTGCAGTTCTCAAATGTTTTTGAACATCAGAGTTGGTGATGAGGAAATGTGAAACGTTTGTTGGCGTTTGAATCTGTCGTAGGTGGATTTGTACGTGAATGTCTCGCAATGTCATCGCTTGGGCAAAGGAAAGAAAAACAAAAAACTAAAGTTAAATTTAATAAAATAAATCGAATTAAAATATAAAATAAAATAAAATTGAAATAAAATAAAAATAAAATAATAAAAAGAAAAAAAAAAAAATTAGAATGTGGGAAAACACCCCCCCCCCCAAAAAAAAAATTACTGGACTTTACTGGCAACTCACGAGATGGGAATTAAAAATATAGAGAACATATTTATTACGATCTCTCCAGGTGTCACTAATGACAATCCCAAAGAGCCATTCTTAGCATGGGTTCTGTGGAAGCTCAGGGTTCCTTCAGAGGTTGCCAGGGGTTCCTTGACCTGGGGCTGGTTGGCCTCCCATCTGATAGTTCCAGGGCCAATGCTACTGACCCCAAATGTAAGGGACATTCTTCCCGCTGACCACCAATGTATGGGACATTCTTCCCACTGACCACCAATGTATGGGACATTCTTCCCACTGACCACCAATGTAAGGGACATTCTTCCCACTGACCACCAATGTAAGGGACATTCTTCCCACTGACCACCAATGTAAGGGACATTCTTCCCACTGACCCCCAATGTAAGGGGCATTCTTCCCACTGACCCCCAATGTAAGGGACATTCTTCCCACTGACCACCAATGTAAGGGACATTCTTCCAACTGACCACCAATGTAAGGGGCATTCTTCCCACTGACCCCCAATGTAAGGGACATTCTTCCCACTGACCACCAATGTAATGGACATTCTTCCCACTGATCACCAATGTAAGGGGCATTCTTCCCACTGACCCCCAATGTAAGGGACATTCTTCCTACTGACCACCAATGTAAGGGACATTCTTCCCACTGACCACCAATGTAAGGGACATTCTTCCCACTGATCACCAATGTAAGGGGCTATCTTCCCACTGACCACCAATGTAAGGGACATTCTTCCCACTGATCACCAATGTAAGGGACATTCTTCCCACTGATCACCAATGTAAGGGACATTCTTCCCACTGACCCCCAATGTAAGGGACATTCTTCCCACTGACCACCAATGTAAGGGACATTCTTCCCACTGACCACCAATGTAAGGGACATTCTTCCCACTGACCCCCAATGTAAGGGGCATTCTTCCCACTGACCCCCAATGTAAGGGACATTCTTCCCATTGACCACCAATGTAAGGGACATTCTTCCCACTGACCACCAATGTAAGGGACATTCTTCCCACTGACCACCAATGTAAGGGACATTCTTCCCACTGATCACCAATGTAAGGGGCTATCTTCCCACTGACCACCAATGTAAGGGACATTCTTCCCACTGACCACCAATGTAAGCAACATTCTTCCCACTGATCACCAATGTAAGGGACATTCTTCCCACTGATCACCAATGTAAGGGACATTCTTCCCACTGATCACCAATGTAAGGGACATTCTTCCCACTGACCCCCAATGTAAGGGACATTCTTCCCACTGACCACCAATGTAAGGGACATTCTTCCCACTGACCACCAATGTAAGGGACATTCTTCCCACTGACCCCCAATGTAAGGGACATTCTTCCCACTGATCACCAATGTATGGGACATTCTTCCCACTGACCCCCAATGTAAGGGACATTCTTCCCTCTGACCCCCAATGTAAGGGACATTCTTCCCTCTGACCCCCAATGTAAGGGACATTCTTCCCTCTGACCCCCAATGTAAGGGACATTCTTCACACTGACCCCCAATGTAAGGGACATTCTTCCCACTGATCACCAATGTAAGGGACATTCTTCCCACTGATCACCAATGTAAGGGACATTCTTCCCACTGACCACCAATGTAAGGGATATTCTTCCCACTGACCACCAATGTAAGGGACATTCTTCCCACTGACCACCAATGTAAGGGACATTCTTTACACTGACCCCCAATGTAAGGGACATTCTTCCCACTGACCCCCAATGTAAGGGACATTCTTCCCACTGACCACCAATGTAAGGGACATTCTTCCCACTGACCCCCAATGTAAGGGACATTCTTCCCACTGACCCCCCAATGTAAGGGACATTCTTCCCTCTGACCCCCAATGTAAGGGACATTCTTCCCACTGACCACCAATGTAAGGGGCATTCTTCCCACTGACCCCCAATGTAAGGGACATTCTTCCCTCTGACCCCCAATGTAAGGGACATTCTTCCCTCTGACCCCCAATGTAAGGGACATTCTTCCCACTGACCCCCAATGTAAGGGACATTCTTCACACTGACCCCCAATGTAAGGGACATTCTTCCCACTGACCCCCAATGTAAGGGACATTCTTCTTCCACACTGATCTTCCCCAATGTAAGGGACATTCTTCACACTGACCCCCAATGTAAGGGACATTCTTCCCACTGACCCCCAATGTAAGGGACATTCTTCACACTGACCCCCAATGTAAGGGACATTCTTCCCACTGACCCCCAATGTAAGGGACATTCTTCCCACTGACCCCCAATGTAAGGGACATTCTTCACACTGACCCCCAATGTAAGGGACATTCTTCCCACTGACCCCCAATGTAAGGGGTATTTTCTCCATTGACCCTCGATTAACCGATTCTACTAAAGATTCCCGAAGATCTGAAAAAACAACAAAAAGGAACCTGAAGGCCATACAAAAAAAACAACAAAAAAAGGAACCTGAAGGCCATACAAAAAAAACAACAAAAAAAGCAACCTGAAGACCATACAAAAAAAACAACAAAAAGGAACCTGAAGGCCATACAAAAAAAACAACAAAAAGGAACCTGAAGGCCATACAAAAAAAAACAACAAAAAAAGCAACCTGAAGACCATACAAAAAAAAAAACAACAAAAAGGAACCTGAAGGCCATACAAAAAAAACAACAAAAAGGAACCTGAAGGCCATACAAAAAAAAACAACAAAAAGGAACCTGAAGGCCATACAAAAAAAAAACAACAAAAAAAGGAACCTGAAGGCCATACAAAAAAAAAACAACAAAAAAGGGAACCTGAAGGCCCATACAAAAAAAAACAACAAAAAAAGGAACCTGAAGGCCATACAAAAAAAACAACAAAAAGGAACCTGAAGGCCATACAAAAAAAAACAACAAAAAAAGGAGCCTGAAGGCCATACAAAAAAAACAACAACAAAAAAAAGGAACCTGAAGGCCATACAAAAAAAAACCAACAAAAAAAAAGGAACCTGAAGGCCATACAAAAAAAAAAACAACAAAAAAAAGGAACCTGAAGGCCATACAAAAAAAAAACAACAAAAAGGAACCTGAAGGCCATACAAAAAAAAACAACCAAGAAAAAAGGAAACCTGAAGGCCATACAAAAAACAACAACAAAAAAAGGAACCTGAAGGCCATACAAAAAAAAACAACCAACAAAAAAGGAAACCTGAAGGCCATACAAAAAACAACAACAAAAAAAGGAACCTGAAGGCCATAGAAAAAAAACAACAACAAAAAAAAAGGAACCTGAAGGCCATACAAAAAAAACAACAAAAAAAGCAACCTGAAGACCATATAGGGCGGTACAGTGGCTTAGTAGTTTGCACGTCTGCTGTGCAGTAAATGGGTCATGGGTTCAATTCCCCACCATGGTGCCTCCTGCATGAAGTTTGTATGTTCTCCCTGTGTGGGTTTCCTCTGGGTACTCCAGTTTCCTCCCTTCAAAGGTTAATTGGCTCCTGTCTAAATTGTCCTAGTTTCATCCCTGGCCATGCGGGATCTCCTGCATGGTGGGGGTTGGGGAAAGACCTGGCAACCTACCCTGTAAATACAATTGCTAAGAGAATTCATGGAAAAAGTGACTTATGAGTGACGGTCCGTGCAATCGCCAAGGGTCGGATACGACTGAATGGATAGATAGAGAGAGAAGGCCATACAAAAAAAAAACAAAACAAAAAAAAAAAGGAACCTGAAGGCATACAAAAAAAAAAACCAACAAAAAAAAGGAACCCAAAGCCATAGAAAAAAAAACAACAAAAAGAGGAACCTGAAGGCCATACAACAAAAAGGAACCTGAAGGCCATACAACAAAAAGGAACCTGAAGGCCATACAAGAAAAAAACAAAAAAAAAAGGAACCTGAAGGCCATCCAAAAAAACAAAACAAAAAAAAAAGGAACTGAAGGCCATACAAAAAAACAACAAAAAAAAGGAACCTGAAGACCATACAAAAAAAACAACAAAAAAAAGGAACCTGAAGACCATACAAACAAAACAACAAAAAAAGGAACCTGAAGCCCATAAAAACCAAAAAAAGGAACCTGAAGGCCATACAAAAAAAAACAACAAAAAGGAACCTGAAGGCCATAGGAAAAAAAAGGAACCTTATTATTTTTTTTTCAGGTGGTGGACCCAAAAGCAATAGACACGAGTAGGACTTTTCACAATTTAGGACTGAATGGTGTATCTTGCCTACAGCGCTTCTTTAATTATAACTGGCACAGTTTCAAAAATAAATGTTAACATTTAATAGGCACAAAGCACTTGTCTTGAAATGAGTCTTCTAAAACAAGAACATCGACAATTTCGGCAGTCATCGAGCTGCGCGTCCCTATCGTAATGTGATGAGCTTGTCGTAGTTCTCTGCCTGGTTGCAGAAGATCTGGCGTCCCTCTGCCGGGCAAAAACAGGTTGATATGACGTCAGTACCTGGCTTCAAGATGAAAGGGCCCTCGTAAGATAAAAGACCGAGCCTATTCATGAAGGTCTGTAGGAGCCCAGATGTCGATGAGGAGCGGAGGTTGATTTAGACAGCCACCAACCAAGCCATGACTCCGGTCAACAAGGACCAACGGGAATTCTACGGAACTCAGCAGCTCAAAGGAGGTGAGGACAACTTCTGAAGGACACATCTTCTGTCATTGCTGAGGGTCAATTATGCCGGTGGTGGTGGTTAAAAAGGGACATCCGAAACAGGGCCTGGAGGACCAAGCCATGACACCGGTCAACAGGGCTCTCGGAGAGCCCTAACAACGGGAATCCTACGGAACACAGAGGCTCAAAGAAGTTGAGGACAACTTCTCCACACACGTAAATAAAGAGCAAAAACTGAAGCAAATGTTTATTGTGAAGGACACGTCTTCTGTCACTGCTGAGGGTCAATAGTGGTGGTTAAAAGGGAAATCCGAAACAGGGCCTGGAGGACCAAGCCATGACTTCGGTAAACAGGTTCCTCAGAGAGCTGGACCAACGGGAATTCTACGGAATGCAGCAGCTCAAAGGAGATGAGGACAACTTCTGCACACACATGTAAATAAAGAGCAAAAACGTAAGCAATGACACCGGTCAACAGAACCCTCTGAGAGCGGGACCAACGGGAATCCTACGCAACACAGAGGCTCAAAGGAGATGAGGACAACTTCTCCACACACATGTAAATAAAGAGCAAAAACTGAAGCAAATGTTTATTGTGAAGGACACGTCTTCCGTCATTGCTGAGGGTCAATAGTGCCGGCAGTGGTGGTTAAAAGGGACATCTGAAACAGGGCCTGGAGGAGCAAGCCATGACACCAGTCTACAGGTTCCTCGGAGAGCAGGACCAACGGGAATCCTACGGAATGCAGCAGCTCAAAGGAGATGAGGGCAACTTCTCCACACACATGTACATAAAGAGCAAAAACTGAAGCAAATGTTTATTGTGAAGGACACATCTTCTGTCATTGCTGAGGGTCAGAGTGCCGGTGGTGGTGGTTAAAAGGGACATCTGAAACAGGGCTCGGAGGACCAAGCCATGACTGCAGTCAACAGGGTCCTTTGAAAGCTGGACCAATGGGAATTCTACGGAACTCAGTAGCTCAAAGAAGGTGAGGACAACTTCTGAAGGACACACCTTCTGTCATTGCTGAGGGTCAATTATGCCGGTGGTGGTGGTTAAAAGGGACATCCAAACAGGGCCTGGAGGACCAAGCCATGACACCGGTCAACAGGGTCCTTGGAGAGTGGGACCAACGGGAATTCTACAGAACACAGGGGCTCAAAGGAGGTGAGGACATCTTCTCCACACATGTAAAGAGCAAAAACTGAAGCAAATGTTTTTTGTGAAGGACACGTCTTCCGTCATTGCTGAGGGTCAGTAGTGCTGGCAGTGGTGGTTAAAAGGGACATCTGAAGCAGGGCCTGGAGGACCAAGCCATCCTCGGATCCTCGGAGAGAGGGATTAACGAGAATCCTATGGAACACAGAGACTCAAAGGAGGTGAGGACAACTTCTCCACACACATGTAAATAAAGAGCAAAAACTGAAGCCATGACACCGGTCAACAGGGCCCTCGGAGAGCGGGACCAATGGGAATCCTATGGAACGCAGAGGCTCAAAGGAGGTGAGGACAACTTCTCCACACACATGTAAATAAAAAGCAAAAACTGAAGCAAATGTTTATTGTGAAGGACACGTCTTCTGTCACTGCTGAGGGTCAATAGTGCCGACGGTGGTGGTTAAAAGGGACATCTGAAACAGGGCCTGGAGGACCAAGCCATGACTCTGGTCAACAGGATCCTCGGAGAGCGGGACCAACAGGAATTCTACGGAACAGAGCAGCTGAGCAAAAACTGAACCAAATGTTTATTGTGAAGGACACGTCTTCTGTCATTGCTGAGGGTCAAAGTGCCGGCGGTGGTGGCTAAAAGGGACATCCTGGAGGACAGCTGTGTCGGCCTTTCAAACTATTTAGCACGCAGCCAAATAGTAACACATTCCAGTTGCTCTCAGAAGTCTTCGGCAATTTGTTTTTAACCAACTCACTACCCTGCTACCGCCGGCGTGGAAAATCTTCGGTGACTTTCCTCACCTAAGCTTTGTCAAATCAGAAAAAAATGGTCAACGGGCTCCGGTAGCTTGCGGGTCAACTGTCTACTGTAGTCCAAATAAAGGTTCTATCCATAAAACACAAATACTCGCCCAGTGGCAGTTCAATATATTTATCTTTTCTTGTATTCATTTTGTCATTGAGATATATAAATCTTTAACATCGACTCCGATTCTTCTACAGCAGTGAGAACCAATCATGGAGGCAAGAACCATACCGGCCTTCAAGAGCCGGCCACCACACCACAAGAGTCCTAAGCTGATGAAACGTGAGATGTGATTGGTCGTGATTTGTGATCCCGTGGACTTCAATTGGGTTACCCTTGTCCTTAGGAAAAAGTATTACTCTTACAATCTAGCTATATATCCTGTCCAGTCTTAGGGTTCAAGAGGGTCCCTCAGTAATTCGTCCAGTTAACAACCAATCAAGTTTGCTGTAGGTCCTCACATTATATAGAGTTGTTGGCAAATCTGAAGCTTTCCACATACAATACAATCTGATCTCTGTACAGCTTCCTTCACATTTACAAAAACCGAACTATGGAATATGAGGACCTACCTCTATTATCCATCAATTTGTATCCAATCCTGACTACGGAGTTGGTGGTTTGATCCAAAGGGAGGTAATATGGCCGACTGTAACGAGATTACTGCAACAAAGATTGACCAATCAGATTGGAAAGTGTTTGGCCAAATTGATGTGCAGACCAGATAGTCCACTATCATTTAAAGTTATTTTATATATATATATATATATA